CCAGTGATTAAGAAGTCGCTTAGATAATATGATTCTACGCGATATAGCGCATCAGCGTTGTTGAAATTCTTCGAAAAATTGCTCGAAGTTAGGAGGTCAGTACCTTGCTCAGGCGGTGTTATGCTGCAGCGAAATCGATGATATCTTGGTAACATTGGTGTGACGTTGACTGAATCGGCGCGACGTTGGTGTCATGTTGGGTTGGTTGCCTTTAAGAGTCGAGCTGAGATGTTGTGTTGTAGATATGTTGGTGTTTCATACAGAGATTGCGGTTTTGTGCAGGGGCTGCACTCATCGAGGGTTGCAGGTGAGACACAGTTATGCCAGACCTAAAACATAGGTAAATAGACCCTTATACAACAATATTCGTTCGAAACCAACGACACAGGGATAGCAACGAATGTACAGATTAATATGAATAATGACTAAATCAATATGCAAAGAAAAATGAGGAGAAAGAAGTAACTGACACTAAGAAGAATCTTCTGCAATGAATTGACACTGTAATAAAAGGAATAGATGAGATGTGAAAGTACGAATGCTGCTCAACTAGGAAGTTCAGAGCGAGCAGTAGGGCATGAAGAAATGAGCAAAAATGGTTTAGCAAATGAGAATCACTGCCTACATACTTTGTTGGAACGGATGCCACACATGCGAAGATGGACAAGCCTAGATTGTTGCGAACTTGATTCGACAAGTGATTGCATACAGAACTGAAGGATAACATGAAAAAATACAGAATATACTCCTTCCTGTGGATCCGTACGAGCGAACCAGATTCCCTAATGCAATGGATCTAAGGCCGATTGGTTGCCAGATTAGGTTCAAACGATGACCGAAAACGACCATTATTTACTTGCCATGAGATGCTATTGGATTCAGATTGGTTCTCTCTGCTAAAAGAATCTTTCTCTCTGCTGGGTAATTATGTTAACGGACACGAGCATTGTTGTGCCTTAATCCATTCGGAATATATCTTGCACGTCGTTTCAGCCAAAGGCTTGCAGTCAACTAACTGGGAAGTAAACGGAAGGAAGCTTCTAGGTCCTGCCGCAGGTATGTTCCACCTTTTCTATAGCAGAGGCCAACAATGTAACCATGGACAGACCAAGTCTCCTTGGCGAAGCTCAGCAACTATTCTACTTCTCAAAACACCAATAAATTAAAACCTTTTCGACGGGTGTTTCACAAGTGAAATAATTAATACGAGTGAATGCGAACCATTATTCTGAACAGTTGTAAAGATTTGTTTGTTCGCATAAGTATCCACCACATGTTGTCCAAAAAGCTTGTAGACTACAGATACCAAATAAGTCGGACTGTCTGACTTCCCACCACTCCAGTAGCTTACAGCTCTCGATATAGAGCTTGAGGAGATCGGATCCAAAGTGGAACCTTAACATGTAGAAGAAAGCAAAATCTATTCTGTTTCCCTTTTTGAAAACAATAAACACTTCGGCCTTGGTAATCCACACTGCCGAATTTTGGAAATGATGGTAGACTAGACGAACTCTTAGAAAACAGTTCTCAACCTTTAAAATAAATTTGTTGTCTCCCTTCATTAACATATTCATGAAGAAACTGGTTTCCCGACAACATGATGATTTCTCCACTAATAAAGTAATGAAGGAGTTGGGAACTTCACTGGATTCCAGAAAAAAGCTTGTTCTTGAGAACTTCATCGGCTTCTGGAACAGACTTGGTTCTGTCACCTCAAGAGTACACAAAAATTTCATACGATGCGCTTCCAAAATCAATTTATTTCAGAGTTAAAGCCCTCAAAAAAACTGAGAAGGACATTTAAATCCTTAGGTAATCGTATAACAAATCAGCACTACACTGGGGAAGATCGCCGGGTTCGTCTGGATAAAACTCCACTCACCTGTTTTTATTTTGCTGAAATATTTGCAAAACTCAGGACCGCTGGTGTACGCGGTGGGGAACGAACGCGTTATTTGCCATTTCTGGGAGTAACGCGCTCACTATCACAGCATGCGTGTCCTTCGTTACGCCTGTCTCTCAGCTAGTTGGTGCTACTTTATTTTTAAAACGTCCCAACGGTTTACCGCCTCGTCGTTGCTAGGAGAAGTTCTTGGGTGTCGGACTGCGATGTACAGCTGGCGATTCATCCGATGGCAAAGTCTCCCAAGCTGAGGAGTCCGGCGTTTCACTCAGGAAGCCTAGCTAAGAGTAAACCAATACCAGGGTCCACCATCGTCCTGTTATCAAAGTCGCATGGTAGCAAATCTCTCTCTGATTCACAAGGGCTGCGACCGCCTGTGGTGGTGAAGACCTGGAGCAGACTTTGACCAAGCTGACCTCGGGATTCCAGGGAACCACAACAACTTGACCAGCAAATCTCCGAAAAGTGGAGATTATACTGGGGCCCGCACAACCAGTGAGAACGGGCCATTCATGTATCCAGTATTTCATTTTAGAAGCACAAGCGCCGAAGAAACAAAAAACCGCGAAGGAAATACATTTTATAGGCTCAAGAAAATCAAAAATTCATCACTATACAGAAAGAGACCTCTAGCGCCTATAGGAGAAGCTCTCCTCACTCCTAGAACTTTCGTTCAAACCAAAGAAGTTCAGTATAAGCTGAGAAATGTTGATTTAAATTTGAAAACGGACATTAATTTCGCGCCACATAACTCCAAATGATGTTGTGTCGTCGTGTATGTGTTAACTGATTGCTCTTCCAGTGATCACTGTTAATAAGGTTGTTTTTAGATCCAAACAGGTGGGTTGTAAAAATAGAAAGTAAAGAGAAAAGAATAGAAAAAAATGGAAAACAGTGAGATCGACCTCAACGCGTGTGCGGCAACATTTGCCATCACGGCGCTGATTTTTAGATCCAAATGGGTCAATTAAGAACGAAACGATAACGAACAACCTAATAAAAATCGATTCCAGCGAAGATATAGAATAAGCTGAAGAAAAAACACGTAAGCGTTCATTTAAAAAAAATAATTGGTAGGAAGTAGTTAGTGTGCTCGAACGCAACGCCGCAACACATGATGCCAACGCGCTGGCGCCTATAGTTTTTGGCCTTGGCTTTGTGCTTTAGCGCCAAATTATTCCTATTTTAAGCACGAAGTATATCTGAGTCTGTTGGCTCGAAGTCTTCTGGGGTCTTTTACCTCTTTGATTATAATAGTTTCTATTTCTCTTATTTCAGGTATATTTTGTGGTTTACTAGATAGTTCTCAAATTTTCAGCACAGATGTGATGCTGAGTCGCCAATTGTTGCTGGAATGGCGTCGTGCAATTCGCAACTTGCGATGGAACGCTGACGCTCACTTGAGGTACTCGTTGGACAAAGTTATCATCTTTCTTCATGTCCATAGTCTTTATTTATCTATAGGGACGCGTGCGGAGCAGTGGTTAGGGGAGCCCTGCAATACACATGGGGACTATCCTGGAATACATATGGGAACTATCCTGTGCTCCAGGTTCACCAAGCTTTCCATCTCTCTGGGGCCGGTAAATTGCTACCAGACTTGTCTGCGAGGAAAGCAACACCGATGCGATACATCGGTGGCCTACCGAGGCATTCTACACACGAGCTATGCATTCATTCACCTCTAACAATGCTTAATGAAGTCGAGTGAATGACGCTTCCCTTAAGGATTGATCAAGGTCGAGAGCTTTATCCTTTGTCTCCCTTTTATTTGCGCGCGTTTAGCGCTTGCTATACACATGGTGTCGTCGATGTGATCACGCGCCACGGGTTCCCCAACGTGGTTGGCATATTGATACCAGACTTGTCTGGAAAGATAACAGCATTGATTTGGTGCATGGTTAGACTACCACAAGTCGTTGTATAGGCAAGATATGCATTCAGTCACCTCTAACGATGCTTAAGAGAGTCGAGTGCATCGTGCTTCCCTCAGGGATTGATCAACGTCCAGCGTTTTTTTATACATCTGTTGCTCGTTATTTCACATTGGAAAGTGCTGAAGAGTAGATTTTGTAGCGTTGATGTGTGACTTTGTTCTTATATTACACTGTTGTTTTGGAATTTTGAGTCACCTGTCTCACTCGTGGTGCACCAGCAAGCTCCATTTGTCCTCGTCGCGATTCACAAGTGCACAAGTAAAGTAGGGAGCATCAGACGTCTACAGAGAAGCCGTTTTGTACTAGTCTTGGAGTGGGTTTTGCTATAGGGGCCTTGGTATACGTTCTAGTGTAAGTTCACTCTTATGCGTTTCCTAGAGGAAACGTCGAATTCCTCTGCTTTCGAGGCGTGATAGGAGAGGAGCGCCACAGTACGTCTGAGTTGGACAACTAGGAATATCCTAGGGCACGATGAGGTGGTGAACTATCGAGGTTAACGTTTAAGTAATTGTTTTAAACCGATGGTTTTATTGAACGAGGCTAAGGAATGTTGACATGAATGAAATTTCTCTTACATCTGCTCATGACGCAACGCATATCCAACTGGGTAATCGATAATCAACATTTTTAATGTATATATTAAGTTTCGTTTGCTATCTGTACGGATATTTCTACTCGAAATTGAATATTGGCTTGAGGCACGAAACTATAGGTGACCGTTTTATGGGATTTTCATGCCTATTTATCACCTGTAATCCCGTTCATCCTCGAGTGGCTCGAGCGGGCCTCAGTACATCTCTCACTTTCCTTGTCTCGTTCAAGAATAGCCCAGTGGGTTCTGCTCGCTCTAGGGACTCGTTGAGCACCGTGCCTTTCTTCTAGGCTTTTCGTGAAAAACTGACCACCAGGTCGGTGGTCTTCCTGCAGTACATTTGACATCCTGAGAAGTAGTACCGATTTGTAGTCGGTACTAGTCTGCAGTTATTGCATAAGGTCAAGACAGCTGAATTAGAATAGTGGGGTTTTCTCTACCGTTAATAAAAGATAGGTATGTACATTCCCATAGGGTTGCAAAAAGATGTGCCTTTTACAGGTTTTCAGGAAGTGATTCGATTTACCATCATGACAGCCCACCGTTGTCGTTCAACAGTTGATTCAGGCTGTTTTCTTCGATTTTTACGCGCTGTTTTTTTCTTAGTGAGTTGTTCAGGGCTCACGAACGTTCAGTGTCCATTGAACAGGACTCCATTGTTCGAGTTGATACATGTCAATTAGCGGCAAACAACCCAATCGAAGACTTCTATTCAGCTGCGAAATGTATGAACAGTTTTTCTGGGAGGTTCATTTTATAGGCCTTTTTCCTTTATAGTAGTTTGTAGAATTCGATATTTCGAGAGCCGATATAGAACAGAAGCATTAGTATTAGTTATGGTTCTATGATTGACGGATTATTATATGTAGGTTTGTCGTCGAATGCTTTTCTGTTCGGCGTATTTGATGGACATGGTGGGCCAGCATGTAGTAGGCATGTGTCCACTTCCTTATTTCCATATATATGCGCCTCAGTGCTACAAAAACACGAGGTTGGTGGATTCAATGTTTTTTTTCTGCTGACAGAAGTCCGTAGTTTTTACTTTTGTTTTATTTTCCATTCCTACGGTGTTCACCCTTTTTTTTGTCCACATGTGATTTCTGATAGACCTGAATTGGTGCGATGTGATGCTTACTGTCTTTTTTCGTTAATATATGTTTCTGATAAGTCTGAGCATTGGGTTCTTTGTATGCATAACATTGCTTAAGACTAAAACACTCCCGTTGGAAGATCGCCTGGAGTGGATCTTTGGCAGTGCCGATCCTCATCTGCCGAATTTGTTTATGTTAGTCAATTGGATAGTGTTAGTTAGTTTTCATTAGTTTCTATTCGTATTCAAAATTGCGTCTAGAGCTTTGCGATGGATGAAGAGTTCTCGATAGCAGTGAGACGTTCTGTTCAATCTTGTCTTTAAATCGTGTGGGAACCGACATCAATGCTTCCGTCGCGAAAGCTATCGACGCAGTTCTACTTTTCCGCAGTTTTCTTCGTTTATTTCCATCTATTACTGCACAGGTATTCATTTTCCAGGCATTCAAACATGGAGAACATTCATGCTTGTCACAAAACTTTCAGTCAGAACAAGGATCTCCATACAGGTACATCTCCATGCAACTTTCCTTCTTCACCTGTTTTCTATTTGAAGCAGTAGTGTAACAATCAAGTAAATTACTCGACCAAGTTTTTTTGGTTTCTAACTGTGTTTCAAAAATATTCCAGCGAATCATTTTGTAGTGTTGAATTGCCCATTGTTGATTTTATAGTTCGCGAAGCTCTCAAATTTGCTTTCGAAACGTGTGACGAGGACTTGTGTCGTGCTGCTTTGCCTGATAGTAAGGGACATTTTGATAAGTAAGAGGATTTTCCCCAAATTCTTCAAGAACCTCTTATGTAGTATTTCTAGACTTAATTTCGTATTTTGTTCCTACTCCTATACCTGTGTTTGTTCAGGTTATCAGTAATGACTGCTGCTTCCGGATCATGCGCAACCCTCGCGCACGTGCGTGGGCGTAATCTACACGTAGCTAATGTTGGTGATGGTGCTGCTGTATTAGGTGATTTCAACCGTTAAGTGCTTTATTATTTTCGCTGTTTCCCGGACATTTTCAATTTTTTTCACTGTTGTTGTAAGTCGGTACCGCTAGAGATATGAAACAGTTTGTTGACTAAGAGTAGTTGGGATATATTCAGGACGTAAATCCTTCTAAATTTTTATCACATCTCCAACTTTAGAGTTAACTTTTTGCAGAACTTTTTCCGATTCAACCCTAATTTTCTCTTTGTGCATGTAAACCTTCATATCCTGTCTTTTGGAAGAATCTAGACAATATTCGAAATATTGTACAGCACAAGGAAAAAGCTCGTTTGGACATGGAAAATGAATTGCGTACAAAAATGGATGGGGACTTATGTTTTAATCCAGTGAAATTGGGATAGGCATATGCTTCTCTTTGATCATTTTCGTTTATTTCCATTTAACCCATTTTCACATATCTTGCTGTTTTGTTTATAGTACAGATTCAAAAACTCCAGGTGTCGTTCACGCAAATGGTAGCGTGACTGCTCGACACCTTTCACATGCTCACTGCGTAGACAATGCTGACGAGGTTTGACTTCATTACTACTATTTATTGTTTCTCTCATGTTTCTTTTTTTTGAGAATGACGATCACTCGTTTACTTCAGGTTCAGAGAATTCGCTCATCACATCCCAATTCAGAAACGCAGTTGCTTCGTGGTGGAAGGCTCTTAGGTGAACTATATCCTTTACGAGCATTTGGAGATGTCCGGTTCAAATGGCCTTTAGATTTGCAGAAGGTACAACTATTATGCAAATAAAATGGAATAGAAGACTGCTCTTCTCACAAATAGCTTTGCTAAACAGTGCAATACTAGTAATTTTGGTTCTAGGTAGTCCTGGAACCAATGGGAAACCCTGCTCCACCCAATCTTCTTACACCACCTTACTTAACGGTTTCGCCAGAGGTGCTATATCACAAACTGACTCCTAACGATAGGTTTTTGGTGCTTGCAACTGATGGGTTGTGGGAATGGCTCGATCCTGACACCGTTGTTCGACTTGTACATGATCACGCACTTGGTACAATGACATTGCAGCCATATCAGCCCAAGGATGGAGCAACGCTCAAACAGGTGAGAGTTTTCAAGTGCTTCTGGGTGCATTGCAGGGATGGTATTTTTATAGAGCTGTAGTGTGTATGTGACTTACAAGTAGTTACACATACTGTTTTCTTAGTTCACCATTTCACGTGTGAGAAGGGGCGTTTTTATGTGTTGCTAATAAAACTGCGGTACTAATATTGTGCTAGTGCTGCGAATCTTTACAATTCCGAAATAAACTTATGAACAAGGTGACAGACCTCCGTTCTTTCCATAAAGACCAACGGCTGTCTGTGGTTATTGCCCACAACCACATGGCACGGTTTTTTAGACAACTAGCGACGTACCAGTCAAATGGGAATTTGCATTTAGAACGTGTTTGGAAATTTATCTATTTAATTTAATGCAGTTAATACACTTTTTATGCAATGTACTTTTCAACCAAGGTATTTGAAAATACCATCGTACGAGATCTTTTAGTTTCAGAACCATGTAAAGTTCTTAGTTTGATTTTTCCTTCAGCCAATAGACCTCGAAAGGGCGGTCTTTAGAAATTGAATAACACGTTGCCATAATCGATAAAGTTTGAAGAAAAGATACACTTGACAGAATTGTATGGCCCTAGCTAAGGTGTGTGTGTGGTTCATGCAAGAAGATCCTTGTATAGGTCAAAGTTTCTGGTTATGTTTGATCCGGACCTGTTTTGTTTGGCACTTATAAGTTTGTTATGTACTTTATGGTATATTAGTTCCTCTTGGGAAACCTGGTGTTTCTGTAGATATGGTGCTTCATTCTAGTTATAAAGTTATGGGATTGTAGTTCATAGTCTTCGGTCGAATTTTCCTTGGTACGCCTATCAGAGAAGTGTTTTGGCTAAGATGTTACCGTTAAGCAAGGCTTATTTTCCGTCTCTTGACCTTTATCCGGAGTCCCCTTACAAATTGTTGAATTTGGTTATTGTGCAATGGTGGCAGTGTTCAGGTAAACTCTATAACACTGGGCCCGCAAGGATCACTTTCCATTTAGGTGAGGTTTATTTTCGAAATAGTTGTGCTGTTATGGGGCAACGATTCCTTCCTTTTAAGTAGCTTTTTCGTAGAGTAGGAACAATGTGGACATATTGTGATCCTTTGCTGGTTTGCGAGCTTAAGAGAATTGTGATGTTTGAATGTAAGATTTTGTGTAAGTTACCGTGGAGGGCAACAAATGAGTGAACTACAAGCTAACGTCATCGACATTTCGTGACGGTATTTCTCACTCCCGATAAAAAGGCTTGCACAGTAAGGTTTGCTAATGTTGATGTATATCTGTTAATCTCCTCTAAAGCAATCATGGTAATAATTGACAGTTTTGGTGTTATAAGTGCGTATTATAAAACGGTTGTGGATATGTTACCTTGATCAATACCGCTGACGCCTTTTAATAGAGGGAAGGGTTTAAGATGTGTGTCAATTTCTTCCTTACTAGTGAAACAAGAATCCTTGTTGTTTTTGAGTTAATACGTGTTTTCCGGAGTGTATTGAAGTTATCGTCACAGGCAGCCGCATTTCACTGACGTTGGAGGAACACTGCTTTGCACTCGATTTTTCACTTAGGAGCACACTTAGAGTGTTATTCGTGAGGGTACATAACGTACAGTGAGACGAATCATGGTGGATGAGCGGTGGACTATTCATTGTAAACCGTTCAATGTAATTTTGATTTCCGAAAGTACTATAAATTATTTAAAGTATCTCAAAAGATCGACTTTCTATAAACCTCGGCATAAATAATCAGTATACTTATTTATGTGTTCTTATTAACTGGTCTCGGTTTACCGCCTTGTCGTGGCTAGGAGGTGCTCCTGGGTGTCGGACCGCGATGTACAGCGAGGGGATTCTTCCCCGCAGGGTCTCCAAAGTTGGGGAGTCCGGTGTTTCCATCAGGAAGCCTAGTTAAGAGTAAACCAATACCAGGATCCACCACCGTCCTGGTATCAAAGTCGCATGGTGGCAAATCTCTATTTGATCCACAAGGGCTGCGGCTGCCTACGGTGGTGAAAATCTGGTGCTGACTTTGGCCAGGTTGACCTCGGGATTTCAGGGAACCACAATGGCTTAACCAGCAAGTTTCCAGAAAATGGTGATTATGCCGGGGCCCGCATAATAAATGAGGACGAGCCGTACAAGTATTAAGTAATTCTGCTGCTGCACAATCCGTACCCATGTGTTTAACATGTGGTTATGATTCCACATGATTATATTCCGGTGCTAAACTAATACTGTCTCGAAGCTTTATTCCTTTCTATGAAAAATTCCATTAGTTGACAGCCATTTCAAATATTACAAAACTTATTTTGAGAGAAGATTCACCAATCTAGAGATATTCAAGAAAGCTGTCCATTTGCGTTAGCTGAATAGTACATTAACGGAGCATATCTTTGAGCTCGTTTGATGAGTGTTAAAATTTTTTCTTGTTTACTAGGATCGTGGTAGATCTGTATTCTTTCAGCATGCGCTTATAGTCATATGAGTATTAATTACACCTGGCTTTAGGTTTTGATAGAGCTGCACCAGAGGAGGATTGGTGACCAAGGTCGTAAGAAACCAATAGACGAGAATTGCGCCACTCATATTATAAGAAACGCTCTGGGTGGTGTCACCGGTGGACAGAGCAAGCAATATGAGAGACTCATCGATATTTTACAGGTTAGTGATTGACCAAAAATCCTAGCTTTCGATATATTTTTGGTAAACTTGGCCAGAGATCTATTTCATTCTTACTTTATCTTAAGAAGTCGTAGTAATTAATTATGCGTCTCATTAGTAAATGGAAACGGAATTGGTCATGAAGTGTTCAAAATATAATTCTAATAGTTCAGGTTGCACCCGGGAGGGCACGCAACTACCGCGATGACATTTCTGTCATTGTTATCCATTTTAATGAGGATTATCTAGCACAGAAAGAAGATCAATTCTCTTCAGATGGTATAGAAATTCAAGCAGTATAGTTTTTTCTTAACAATGGATATCATGAACCTTTCCATTTGTGTAGCCTTCCCAATTAGCACTGAATTGGAACAGCTGATTACGAAATTCGAAAGTACATTGAAGCAGGTTGCTGCATCTCAAGTAGTATTATTGCCTTTTTTTCCACGTTGTTTGCATTTTAGAATTTTTCAATTGTTAGACAGGCTGTCTTGCGGCATAAAGATACTTTTAATATACTTTTATACAGTTCTACACAGTGAAAATGTGGACAGTACACGTCACGAGGATATGTTGGAAGCAAATGCTACACAGTCCTCTTTACCAAAAATTACACACAATCCATGTTAGTGCTCAGAATTGCGATGAAATCTAAACAAATTCGTTTCTCGCGCAGATCAATACCTGCATTTATCCTCAGCTCGTCCAACCAAAGCCTATACGTATTAAAATCTAATACATATAGATTTATCGCATATACTGTTGCTGTGGTTGCGAAGGAGCTTGTTGCTGATACATTACTTGCTGTTCGTAGCCTTGTAACGGATAGCCACCAGACATCACTTGTGGAGCACCAACATTTTGAGGTACAGTGGGGATCCCTTGGGGAGGATAACCGTAACCTTGAGGAGGTCCCATTGGCACAGTCATTTGGGGTTGTGACGTGGGCGCAGGGCCTACTGAAGGTTGAACCTGCATCATTGTTGGAGCCATCATCGTCTGTGTGGTCGGCTGAGGTTGCACAGGATACGAAATGGTAGCCGGCGTTGGCGCCCCAGAAGGTGGACCAGCATCTGACTGTGTGAGATGTGCACAATTCTCGTCATTTGGTGGATTTTCGTCCTGAAATCACACCTACAATTAGCACCTGTAGATACCTTTACAGCTAGAACTTTAAGTTTGAAATTTCCCTGTGAATCCCTGTGAAAATTCAGAACCTACCCTCAACTGCGGTAGAAGAGACTGGTCAGCTGCCTGAGCAAGATGTATGAGGTTCCTGTGTAGAAGCTGCTGATATTTTGCAGCTTCCTCAGTACGACCCTAAGAATCAAAACAGTAGAACACGCTATGTATACCATCGATAAACGCCCGAATGGCCTTACCATGCTGAGATAATCCCTGATTGATTTTATTAGGGAGGCGTTCTCGTTCAAAAGGGCCTGGACGGTGCTACGGTGGTCTGGAACTCCCTGACGAACCTCTTGTGGTGCAAAAGCGAGTGACATAATCTACGATGCAGATATTGTCGAAATTACCTTATGAATACACATGAAGGAATAATAAACGAAGAAGGTCACTTCTCGAATGCACAACTCAAAAAATGTATGAATGTTTATTTTCGCCAAGAAATACCGTCATAAAACTACAGTACACGTTCACAACCTAATCTACTTGGTGCTTATTCGAGTTCTCTTGTTCCAAGAGAAGTTAGTCCCATAGCTTTTAGGGATAATTTCACGAACATGTTCTTTCTGAAAAGTTTTTTTTTCAAATTTATTTGACATGTAACAAGCAATAGGAACAAAAAATGAATGTGATTTTAAAAATGCTGAAGATTAGGACATTGCAATGCGCAAACCTCTATCTCGTATGGCCATCTGTTTTTCTCACAAAAGGCAATAGCATCCTCTTTGCTAGCGAACTTCATATTCATTGATATATTTGATAATGGATCTCCCCTAAAGTTAGATTCTTAAACGGATATCCACGAGATTTCGGAACTCAGCAGTTACTCCCTAATTATTTAAGCGAACAATACCGCATTTACTACTCGTTGGTTCTCATACTCGTTTCAGTTGGAAAAGATGAAGAATTTATTACTCTATTGGAGTCGAACAATTAAATAATAATAATAAAGAAGTAAAATATATAACAATAAATAAATGAAGGAAAAGAGCATTTAATTCCTAGCATACTATTTCTCCTGATAATATAGTTTTTAAACACGTGCGTTGTCGTTGCTCTAGAATGCCACTTATAATACTCTAGTCTAATGAAAAACAACAGGCCGGTAGCGTAATGGTAATGATGCCATTATTACGTTCATGGTCTCGGTCCGAAACATTGCTGGTCTCGTCAATCCTCTAACTTACATGGGATCTCCGTAGCTCATTTATCCTTCGATACTAGGGAGGATCAACTTGACCAACATTCAATGATATCCATAAAAAAGACGACAATCCTCAAGTGGCAGCCGAAACAAGAAGCGAGAAGTTCGAAGACCTTTGTGGATGGTATATGCAAGGAAATTAATTGCATAGGAGTGCTCGGATCCGTACTGTATACGAGAAGACCAGCAGGATAAAATTAGGGAAAAATTTCCTATCCTACATTATCTATGTTGTAATTTGCCCTTTTGACAGGTATAAGCGCATGCATTTTGAATCGAACACAATAAAAAGATAGGGACTGATGTACTAAACATTCTTCAAGTTAAAAACAAAAAAAGATAAACTCTTAAAATTGTTTATGTATGTCCAACTATCGAACAATAAACTAACGAGCTACACCATCCAATAAGAGGATTTTCCCATCGTGAACGATTATCAAGCTCAATTCGCCATGCCTAAATGATTCAGGTAAAAAGTGTTTTGTGAGAAAAAAGTGATTTGAAAGAAAGAAGAAACAACTAAAACCTCGGTATTACCTGACCCCATCTTAACTGGGTTCAATGCCTATTTGTGCTATCTGGATCAATCCCGTTGACGGGTAATTCCTGATGGTATTGGCAGGTAGAAAACTAGCCGAGAAAAAGGCGAAAGGAAGGACTCATATGATGCGGTGGTGAGCTCGTTAGCCCCGGGAAAGGTAACAGCGTGTTCGATCCCTACCGCAGGTACTTGCGGTCCGGAGCGTTGCAAATATCTCAGCATCAACGTGAAAATTCGTACTAGACAGTAAATAAAAAACTAACCTTGGTGTTGTTCCACGAAGCCTGAGTAGCTTCTCGTGCAGCTCGAAATATTCTTGCTCTCCGCTCCTCTTTATGTTCGCTAGGAACACCACTAATATCAGCAGCTTCATCGGCTATCACCGTAATCGGCACCTTGAAATGATTCATTGTCCACTACGGACACACACGATGGAAAGGTAAAACATGCTTCCCGTAACTAGAGGAGAAACGTAAACTCAATTTTAAAAAGGGTAAATAAGAAATTAAGGAAAAAAAAAGAACCTTAGTAACCGTTGGTTGGAGGATATCTTCGACTTCTTTCCGTTTAGCGTCAGCATAACGAATTATAGGAAGATCCTTACCGGTCGTGAAATTCCGCAACTGTGCATGACGAGCGACAATGCAAGAACCAGACCGAATCATCTAACGGTTATGAATTGTTTGTTTTTTTTTAAAGTACCGACCTCATCGAAAACGTCACATCCACAGAAATTTACAAACATATAAGGCCTTAAATGTTACAGATCCCGTTCAAAAGCAATAATTTGCGATATACATGAAAACAAAACAAACATATATAGCTAAACAAAGTACCAAATCCATGACAAGTTTAGTTGTCGCGAGATCCATATGCCAAAACCCACAGTATTTCGGTTTAGGCGTCAAAAAATCGCAATATGGTGACATGCGGACAGTGCGCAGCATTTCTTTAAGGCTTTGCCATATTGATTATGAAATAACAAACTGTGACCAAAGTAGTTAGTATCGTTACATTATGCATCTTTTAGACAATAGAGCTGCTCAGTATAATGACAAGTTTCTCGTTGCTATCTGTATACATCGTACATGGGCGCTCCATTCCAGATAAACTGGGACCATTGATAATTTTGACGACTTAAGGTCTGCATTGTAGTGCACAAGTTGCTTTCTTTTAAAGTCAGAGAGACTTCTGTTGATGTGAGCGCAGTTTTTCCTATGTTTGTCTTCATTAAGAAAAATTGCATTCATTTGTTCATGGTAGTGTTTTTCTAGTAAACTACAAACCAGTTCAATATTAAACATCAGAATCAGAGAGGTGGTCAGGCCTCCGTAGGATCCATCCGTTCTTTGTTTTTTCTTCAACTAGCCTTATTTCCATGGCAAGTGCTCCAGTGCAATCTCTTTGGATTCAGTACACATCTATTTCATGTTGTTGGTTTAAAGGCGTAACGGGTGTTTTCCAAAGCGCGTGAGAAATAGGTGAACGAGAATTTGTTTTCATTACGAAGGTTTCGTTTCGCAACTTCGTGGAGTATTTAGCATGGTCCCTTCATGCACAAAAGACTATGGTGGTTGTCTCATTCTAGTGTCGCTCCGCTCTTCTGCTCTTAAATTTTCAGTGCGCTTGTGAACGCGTGCGTATTTCGTTTTCTTCCCAATTTTTCACTTCAAATTTCATCAAATTCCAAGCAACACTGCGCACAAACTCAACGACCTCCATACACGACGTTTTCAAGATAACTAGTCGAGTTGGAGAACGGCCGCGACTCTTTGATCGTACGAAGACGGGGCTTCTAAGTATCACAGATGCACACTTGGATCCTTGGATGACCCGTCTTTATTGGTTATGCGGACCCCAACATGTTTTCCACTTTCTCGAACTTTCTCTAGCTTACGAGGTCAGTTTTGCCAAAGCTTTCCCAGGTCGTTACCAGCACAGGCAGTCGCCGCCTTTGTGGGTCAGAGGGAGATTTGCCACCATGCGACAAGTTTGTTACCAGGACGATGGTGGATCGCGGTATTGGTTTACTCTTAGTTAGACTGCATGTTGGAAACGCGAACCAAGTATCTATGTAGTTGAAGTTCTAAGTATCAATACCAGGAGTCTTGGTATCAAAGTCGCATGGTGGCAAATCTCTCTCTGATCCACAGGGGCTGCTACTGCCTGTCGTGGTGACGACCTGGGACAGATTTTCGCCAGGCTGCCCTCGGAATTCCAGGGAACCACAATGGCTTAACCAGCAAATCTCCGAAAAATGGTGATTATGCTGGGGTCCGCACAACTAGTGATGACGAAACACAACTAGTTCAAGTATCAAGTAAGTTCTAAGTATCTGTATGTAAGTAATCTGTGATTACTTTACGCTATTGGGGTAAGGTAGAAAAATGTCAGTCTCTTGCTTGAATCCACGCTTAAACGTTACTCTACAGAAGCCGCTTGCAACATCTGCTTTGGATTTGCTCAGGAAACCCTCGGTGGAAGTGAACTGTAACGTTCGTTTCAAGCGTTTTCTGATGATAACTTTCTGAGTAGTTCGTGATAAAGAGGTTTGTAGACGACCGTACCATTCGTTAATGGCAGCATGACCAGGTTGAATGAAGTGGGTCGGCGCACAGTGGCTCGAGATGATGTGGAAGAACTAGGCTTGACGCACTGCGGTATTTTCAGAACACCTCATCCGAACTGGAAGGTTGAGAAGGAACTTTGCCAATGGAGGTGGCAAGCATTGACCACAATGCGAACAGTTTGTTGTTATGAAATCTGCTCATGAGGAGAATTTGCTTTTCACGCAACAAAAACAACTCATTTTTTGCTCTTTCACTGACATGCGTCTAGAGGTGCACTTTTACATCAATAAATGAAAAGATTGGATAGCGCAGTGGGGCTCATTTCGTTCATGGACACATCACGCAGCCAGCACAATGAATCGTGGTGCAGGTTCGAATCCGCACTGTGCTCATTAAGCGTCATTGTCCCTCCGGAGTCGATAAATCGGTACCAGTCTTGTTGGAATAAGTTCACCTGCTCTAATCTGCATGGGAGCACTTCAGCAAGGTTATCCAAAGGCTTCAGGAGGAGTCAATTCATGGACAGTTGTGACGAACGCAGAAGAAAATCCTCAAGCAACAGCCGAAACCACATTCAGGAAAGTCCGAAGACCTCTGTGGATGGTGGATCCGAGAAATCGAATTTAATGCAAAAAGTACTGGGATCGGCACAGTGTGATACATCTGATGCCGGATCATACAGTAAAGAGAAATTGACGGTTATAGACTATTTTTCATGCTTGACGAATGGCATCGTCTACTATAATGCCTCCAGTGCTGGCGAAATCATTACACTAGGGAAGTAAGGCTAGATGAAAAATAAAGCTCGACGTTTATCAATTACTAAGAGAAGGACTATGCACTCGACTTCCTTAAGCAGTAGTAAAGGTGATCGAATGCATATCTTGTCTACACAATGCCTCGCGGTAGCCTAGCGATGTATCGAGCCAGTGCTGTTATCCTCCCAGACAGGTCTGGTTCCAATTTCCCGGAGGAATGGGAGTCTTGTTGGACCATAGGCACGAGATCGATCCCATGTGTGTTGCTGGGCGCTTTCGACCACTGCGCTACATGCACTCACACTAGGGAACTACTGTCAGTAAATCACGCCTGAGTTCTAGTGCATGAACTTGAAAGGTCCATTTCTGTCTCATTGCAGTTCCTTACCACGAGTCGTGCAAGCTGCATAGTGAAAACTAAAGGAATTCGGATTGAGGACTCTACTTCATCTAGTACACTCAGCTGGTCTTTTGTGAAGCCACAGGAATTTTTCTAGGAATCTCAGCACCGACTGACTGAAATGGTGGCTAACAATAAAACCATTGCTGAGGAAGCTTTCGGAGGTTTTGTTTTGGCCAGAGGACTACGGTTTTACTTTTTACTGGAATGCTTAGACTTATTTTTCATCGGCGAAAATACACAGATTCTGAGTGGTTTAAGTTTTATTAGTGAAGTTTGATATGAGTTGTGACTTAGGTATTTGGCATTAAATGAGAAAGGCAATTCTTTTCAGACGGCAGCTTGCCTCATGTGGTAATAAAGTCATTAAACTTTCGAAATAACTGATCTTTTATTATTAAAGAGAAGGCGTTGAAAAGGTGCTGTTTTCTTTTGGAAACAAAATCATGTTTATCGACATTTTTGTTTACAAATGTTTTTATCTTTGACCCACTCTGACTCTTCAGCACCAGCAGCCATAGTGGGAACTACGTTTTCTTCTCGCTTCTTGAGTTCGTTGTCATATAGAAAGCTGTGATTTAGTTCGCTACTGGCAACGATCTTATAGAAGAAGACTGTATTGTGCACCAAGACCTAGTATTGATCTTTGGTATTTTTTTGACAAAGAGTTTTTTTTAAAAAGTATTTTACATAACGCCTTATCACATCTACTGCGCGGATCCTAGAACTTCTTGAATTCGATTCGTTTTCCTCGCATTTATCGTCCACAAAGGTCTTCGAACATTTCACGCGTTGTCCCAGGTGCTGCTTGAGGATTTCGTCTTCTTCATGAATGTCGGGAGATAACTGGGCTAATACATTCCCACGTGGATTGGAGGGGAGAGCCTTGGGACGGGGATCGAACTAGCGGCTTCGTTCCGTGATGTACGGCATCACTAACCACTGTGGTATTCGCATCCTTGATAATTAGTAAATAAATGGTCTCTCTTCATGAAGCATTGTGCCGACACCAGTAAAATCGCCGCTTGAGCAGTATGTTGGAGGTTGGGCAAAATTCTTCAACTGTAGTTCCAAGAAGTCGGAAAAAGGTTTGCTACTTTGCGACAAGAATTCTTCCAAAAAGATGATTATTTCTGGCATCGGTTTAGTTGGTCTTCTCTGAGTAGATGTTGCACTCGTCATTTTGAGTGATCCTGCCAAGGGACAGGATGCCAAACTGTTGAAACAGAGTTGATGCTTCGCGTGCGGTCAATTTTATTCGACTGTCATGTGGAAGGAAGTTTTTCTCCGTTGCAGTTTGTGTTCAGTTTGTAAAGACTTAGTAGCATTTTACAGAATCAAGATCTTTCAGGCCATTACATTGAGGTGTATCGAAGGTATGAGGTACGTACATGAGGACAATCTTTGTGAAAATTTGTAGATCGTATGATTAAAGACGGAAGTCGAGTTGTGGTTTCAAGGTCATCATTCTGTTTCCCGAGGGATGCGGTGATGGCCAGAATATCTTATGAATTAAGTATGAGGATTTTGACAGCATTCCTTAGGGCATTGAGTCTCCTGAGAGGAATAGGTTGAGTAGAGCTACTTGATTATGTCTTCTAGTAACCGGCTTGTCTATCTTTATTCCATAATGTTGAATCCACTGTAGAGGTGTTTGTTCTTCCATCCTGAAGATTCTTTCTAGTTTTGAAAAGTTTTAACTGCCTTTCCCATACATCTCTTCAATGCACTTGTCGGGCTATAGTTGGCGATTATGCGCTCAAGGTCATCATTACCTGAAGAACTATGCTTGGCCAAAATTATGCTGAGGAATTTGCAAAACTCCGAACCGCTGGTGTCTATAGTGGGGACCGAACACGCTATTACACTTTTCGGGTGCTAACGCGTTCACTATCACACCACGAGAGTCCGTTTCGTCTTTCTCTCGTCTTTTATTTCACCATCATTGTGGTTATATTTCACATAATATACTACCATTAAAAAGAGCAGGGAGAAAATAAAAAGTGTTGACACTATGCTTAGCTTTCGAGAAACTCGGAATTTATCTAGTAATTCTCGAAATCATTTTTAGAAAGTTTCTCATACCAGGATAAACCTTCATAGCACCTAGACATAGAAGTTATGTTTGGATTAGCACAAAGTAGTATCTGTAAAATGACGTCATTAGATCTTCTGATTTCTAACGGTGTCCTGACACGGTATTGCCGGGTCGTTAGTAAAAAATTCTGCACCTTTCTCGAGCTTCTGAAGGTGTTAAATTCCTTTGTAGCTTCTGCACCTGTACTGATTGGATAATAAACTTTTGATATCTTGGAATGCTTCACCAGCCGAAAAAGAGATCATCACAAATAGTTCGTCAGTTCTTCACTATAGAATTTTGCACCAAATCTGTCAATGGGTTATCATTCGCAACAATGCATCTTTCGGTATTTCTCGTCTCATAGTTACGATTTTTTGCAATTTATAGTTTTCCTTTTTTCCAGTATAGCAGGCGAGCAAATCAATGTGAAAATGGATTGTGAAGACAGCACGAAATCGCAGAGTGGAGATAACGTAAGAAAGTCTCTTTGATCTTGTAAATACTCTCTCAGGAATTATCACCAGGCAGAGAAGAGATTGAACATTTTACAGTAACAGAAAACTAGGTTTGGAACTGTTCCAGGGATGCTTTTTGACTTTTAGTTAATATGAAAAGGAAAAATGCCTAATATTAATTTCAAGTTACAGACAAATACAAGTGAAGTAAAACCAGCGCTGAGCACAGTTGAAGGTGAAGAAAAGAAGGATGCAACGAGTTCTGAATGCCACGTTCATATTGGCGACACCGGCCTTGAAGATGAAGATGAGGAGATGGATGATGAGGAGGTTGAGTCAGAGGGAGACGAGGTGTGTGCAAATGGAGGGAGCTTAGATTTGGCTTCGAAATTTAGCTCGAAAATTAGAAAATCTTTTGAGGATTTGTGCATGGAGAAGGAGCATAAATATTGAAAAATAAACCGACATATCTTATTTCTTAAATCTCTTCTAAATTAAGGAACTGAAAGGGATGAAGATCATGAATTTAGTGAATAAGTGTTGTTGTTGTATCGTGTCGTAAGTAATGTGTAGGTAATCTGAAATGGTTGTGGACGTGGATCGGATTGAGCTGACTTTCTCTATTGCTTTTCACCTGGTATGTTTTGGTCTTGTGAATAATGCATGTCTTTAGGAGGCAGTTAGCGCAGTGGTAGTAATACCGATCATCGCGAGCACGGTGCTCGTTGGATTCCGTTCCGGACTAACCAAGCCTCACATCCCCAGGGTCGGTAAATTGGTGCCCGACTTGTCCGAAAAAAAATCGGTCTCTGCAATCCAAATGGGAACATTCTAGTACGGGTATCTCAGGGCTCCAGGGAGAATCGACTCTACTAGTATTCTACGACATGACATGTGAAATAAAATTCGTCAAGCAGCAGTCTAAGCCACAAGTAAAAAGTTGGAAATCTTCGTGGATGGTGGGTGCGAGGAAATGAATGTGAGAAATGCGTGGATCCGCACAGTAGACGTGAAGACAGGTCGTGTAAATAAATGTATAATATAATGTAATGTATATGTTGAACTCATAATGGGCACGCGCTGTTTAAGGTGGCGCTCCGAGTGGAATATCAGCAATTTTTCGGCTGCTGTAGACTTTCTGGTCTTTTGACGATAACAGAGTATATTTATATGATCGTATAAACTGATCTTGTTAAGCTGATGCGAAGTCGGTATAGGTCTTCGTTATAGTTGTCGTTGTTCTATGTTGTCGATGGCTGACGTTCCGGCGATTTCGCCTTCCTCAGAGCCTGGACGTATTTTGTACATGAATGTTTTAATCATTGGATGGAAAAAAAAGACTACAGTATTAATGAAGACCAAACTTTTAAATAAAAGCCATGTTGATCAAAAAGGCTACTCACCGTGCTGTTATGAGTGGGGCTGTCCGCGTGTTGTCCACGTGGGACGGCGAACCAGACGCACCCATAGGTCAAAAATCATTTTGAAGTAAATAAATTAGGGCGTTGGGAATTTTAAGGATGGCGGATTGCGGAAGAGACCTTATTCAGTCGTTCTATGGGTATGGATGGCATCTGTGCTAGAATTTACTGTTCACTGTGGTCCGTTATGCAAATACTTGGTGTGAGCTCTTGGAAATATTTTCCACGCTATGTGGAGTTTATTGCTGTGCCTTTATATCTCTACATTCCAGGAAATGGCCATAGTGATCGAAATGAAATAACAGTTAATCGTTAGTCGGATTACCGATCACTGAATAAACTTTTTCGGAAAAGGTTTTCTAGACATCATTAAGTGTAAGTAATTGTTTCTTCTGGTCTCACCTATACTATTCTAATCTGCTTTCGCTTAGTTTCAGAAAGAATATACACAGATCGGTAAAAAAATTCTGCATCGTTTTAACTAAGAATGGGGACTACAGTGTCCATAGCGGGGGTTATGGCTTAAAACCTTACCTACTTACTTGGATAGCTTGTTCTCATATGTCGCTCTAATCGCAGCACCTCAGTGGTCTTAGTCGTTACTTGTACCCATCATCTATGAGGTGGTCGAATTCGTGGTGTTGTTTCGGCGGCCTATTGAGAATCTCGAATCCTTTATCCTCATTGACATGTCGGGTGCTGGTTTATCGTGTTTTACCAGGTAATCGTAACGTAGCGATGCTGAGTTCCACAAGTTTTCACCAAAGCTAGTCGTGCCTATGGAGCGCAATAAGGTTTGCTGCCTTGCATCTTGGATTCTTATAGTCGTTAGCGTATCCTGTTAAATTTATTTATCAGTTGACGCTGATTTTAAAGCCTGTATCGTTTCCTAAAATCACGATATCTAAGTAACTTTTATGTGAAGCAAACAACTTTGAAACCATTATCAATCAATGAAGTCATGAAGCGTCAGCATTACCTTCTAAATCCTCTTGGTTTAGGAGTGTTCACCTGAAATAAAAGTTCGTTATGAAGGGGAATTTGTTTGTATTATTCATTTTAGGTCGAGAGCATAGAGGATATTAAAATACAGAATGGTGTATTCAAGTATAGAGTACGATGGGTTGGTTGCAAGCCAAGTGAGGATACATGGGAGCCGGAGGAAAGTTTCACAGGTGCTCTAATTTATGCATTATTGAATAATAATGTGTTAATGGGCGTATTGGTGTGTGTGGTATGTGTGTGTATAAACTTTAAGAACACTTAATAGATATAAAAAAATGCATCTAGATAAGTCATCCTAATGGTTTACCGCCTCCCCGTGGCTAGGAGGTGTTCCTGGGTGTCGGGCTGCGATGTATAACGAGGGTATTCATTTCCCCAGCCGGGCCTTCCAAGCTGAGAAGGAATCCGACGTTTCAATCATGAAACCAAGCTAAGAGTGAACCAATATCAGGATCCACCGCTCGTTGTATCAAACTAGTCGTGTGGTGGCAAATCTCCTTCGAATCCACTAGGGCGGCGAATGCCTGTGGTGGTGACGGCCTTAGGTAGACTTGGGCTAGGCTGACCTTAGGTCTCCAGGAGAACACAATGACTAATAGCAAAACTTTGGGAAAAAAAATTAGAAATTATTGTGGGTCCCGCGCAACCAGTGAAGATAGGCCATCCAAGTGTTCAAGTATGTATCTGGATAAGTTGTGTCCAAGTTTTGATGTTAAAGGGCGCCCATGTACTTTAGAAGTCACTCCTAACTTTCGTACCTGTATTTCTAACTGCTATTTTAACAATAGTTTCACTTTGACCGTGATCGTAGTCAAGTTTAGCATTACAGAACGACGATTCGTAGCTGAAACGTTTTTCATCAACGCACTTTTTTTTAGGTGTCCACTTACTGCAATGAATAGGAAACTTTGAACCTTACAAATATTTTAGGTTCTGAGAGCAAAGTGCTCCTGGAGAAGTATCGAGAAGCACATAAAGAAAGGGTTGAGCAGCTCTTGAAAGCTGAAAGTAAGTTTTCCTTGCATAATCAGAATGCTTAGGATTCGTTAGGTGTGTTGAGATTAGAAAAAAATTCTGTGGTGTAAACGAGTGGAATTTCTAACGAGATTTTTTCTCTACAGTGCAGCACTGCGGTTTTTTTAAATGAAGGTGTTGTCTTGTTGTACTTTTTCAATATACTATCTTAGTACTTTTGTCAAAATCAAACATATCAACTACCATTCAGCTCGTTTTTTTCCCGCTTATGAGAACACTTCAGAGACGAGGAAGGGAAGGAGGACGAAGCGCGGGCCTCGTTGGGAATATGTGTCGGAGATTGTTACAAGAGATGTAAGGCTTATTTTTGATGTGCTTTTTGACAACTCCATTTTCAGTAAAGATTGAAATTTGGGGTTTTTTTTGTCTATGTTATGTCTATGTCTAATCGTGCAATAATATGTTCTCAGGATAAAACCGGGCTTAAGCCAAGGGAGCTACAAGCGAGTGACGTGTTTTATGGACAACCTGCTAGTGAATTAGCCACTGCTTCCAGTGAACTGAAGAAACTTTTCGATCCTTCACATAAGAATTCCGCTACAGAATTGGTGAATATTTCATGTAATGTTGGAGTTAGTTGTTGATTTAGTTGTGTTATGTAATGTTTTAACTTTTGAGAAGGTCTCTCAGCTATTTTAGCGTTTTCATCGTAAGAATATTTCTTAGTGTTTTCAAAGAAAAGTAACAAGGATCGGTTTAGTTCCTCACAACAACCGATCCAGCTGTCAAAGTAACTCGCAGTCAAACAAAGGCTCTTATTGGATCGCGTGATGTATCACGATCTAATACTCCAACTCTTACCACTAAACTTCTAACAGCTGCAGTAAGTAGTTTTTTCCCTTTTTATTTCTCCATGTCTTCTAGTACTTTATGCACGTTCCTTCAGGATACATCTCGAGGTTCAGTTAGTCCTACATCTAAGAAAACAAAAGGATCTCAGAAAAAAGGTAAAGCTGCAAGTAAACGGGCTCCAAAACGAAATGCTTCGGAGCAAAAGGTAGCTTCTTCTATTCTTTCGTTGTTATTTTGTCCATCTTCCATGCTAATGCATGGAATTTTTATATACTTTTTCGCTCATGTTGTATACGCTTATCAACACTGTTTTCTGGATAAGTAGATTGTTCCAATGACTGGTTTCTAGTCTTCATGTGTTTATTTCTTTGATATAGGTCAGTGAAAAAGAATATCTTAGGAACCAGCACAAGGTCCAGAATGTGTTACGGTGAACTCGCCAAGTCTGGTCGACAATCAGGTATGCTTATTAGCATCTACTAGCGCTCCTAGAGTTATTCAATTATGGAGACTACGCCAATCCTGAATATCCGCGCTACTACTAACACATTTGCGACGATATAGATGCATTTGTTTCAACGGTTTTTTAGACGAAAGCGGTTCGGTCTTGAGCAAACATTTCTCAACTCACAGTGAACCTCAATGATTTAATTGAAAATAGTTAGTGTCTGCTTCTACTTTCTAACAAAACACAAGTCTTATTACACGACGGTGAAGTTAGGATTTTTCTTTTGAACTCACAAGTCGTCTTTTTTTGTCAATTCATATATCCCTAGTAGAGATGTTGTTGACCTGCAAGTCTAATCGGAAACGATGCCTTCATCTTAGACACACTAATGTCTGCTGTTGCTGAATTTTCTTTTGGAAGCATGAAGACCCAAGCTAGGGAGGTTTTGAAGTTAAAACTAAGAAGGTTATAGTTAAAATGATGTTTTATAAAATTTGTACCTGCTTTAGTGAGTTAGGTAAAGTTTTTTCTTAGAGTAGTCAGATCTGAAATGTCAAAAATTACATTTTTTGGGAGTGTCGTAATCGTGAGGAATGTGTTAATAGTAGTAAGTAACCATGTCCCACAAAATTCTTTTGTAAACTTTTAAACTGCAAGGATACACTTGGCTTCATCACATGCAGTTAAATCATTGGAACTACTAGCATTAACAGTATATTTTTCTTGGGTCTAATAAATTAGTTTTATTAGCGTTGTTACTTATTGTTACTATCATTACTATTATTATTATTACTATTACTTGTTACTTTCACTACTAGTGCTTACTACTGAAGTTCCTCGTTTAAAAATCAAAGTGGACATCTGCGCTTGCTTAACTTAATGCAGTGTGACTAGTGCTTGCTTCTCTGGCCAGGAAGACTGTCCTAAACTCCAAATGCTTTATAGTTTTCGTACTTTGAACGAGGTTTTTTAGGTGACAACGAATTCATCTTCGGACAAGCCTCCAATTGTTTTGAAGCTGACGCTTAAAAGTAAGTTAATGTTTGTTGGTGATTTCATCTATGTATTCTTTGCATACACGTCTGGCTGTTGTGACTAGACAACGTTTCTTCATTACTACGGTTAGTAGATTTAACTGTTAACTAGAAAAGATAGAGTTTAAGACGCTGATCATCATGAAAGAATGCACCTAGCATTCATGTTTTGTTTATAAGTTTGTCACAGCAGTGATTGTGGATCTCGTCTGAAAAAAAATTAGGCCCCGTTACTTTTTGTGTTTTTCATAAAAGAGTTTGTTATTTTGTTAGATAAAATGGGTATGGGATATCTTATCGTATTAAGTTTTCTCATTTTTCTCATTTGCACGATGGGGTAGCTCATTACACCAAACTTACTCGCAGTCATCCTCAAATTAAAAGAAGGCCTTGTTGCTTAACAAAATACGTGGGTACTTGGATGGCCCGTCCTCACTGGTTATGCGGACCCCAGCATAATCTCCGTTTTTTGGAGTTTTGCTGGGGTATCCATTGTGGTTCCATGGTCTCTCAGGGTCAACCAGGCGAAAGTCCGTCCCAGGTCGTCACCATCACAGGCAGTTGCTGTCTTTGTGGATTAGAGGCAGATTTCTCACCATGCGACTAGATTGGTACCAGAACGGTGACGGATCCTGATATCGGTTTACTTAGCTGGGCTTCCTGATAGAAACGCCGGAATCGTTCTCGGCTTGGGAGACCCTACTGGGGGGATGAATCTTTCCTCTGTACATCGCAACCCGACACCCAGGAACACATCCCAGCTAAGATAGAGTGGTAAACTGTTGCGAATATTAACAAAGTTACGATGATATCTGTTGATTACAGTGCAAACATAGCGAAAAATAACTAGCCTTTTAACTCCATGCAATCATATTTCAGGGGAAAATTTTAGCAATTTCAATTAGAAGCGTTAGAATGAAAACTTGATCCTCTGAATGTCCTCGGGAATTAGAGAAGTAGAGCTTAAGAAGGTTTTGAATTCAAAAGAATGGAGTTTCTATACAGCTTTAGAGAGCTGGAGCAACTTTATCTTATGAGTTTCTCTACCTCTCAAGGCCTCAAGTATTCTAGTTATGGAAAAATTGCTGACAGTATTCAGAATACGTTTCGAAAATGTTACTTTGTGTTTGTTTTGTTGCATTATTGCGTGGATATAGTTTAGAATATATTTTTGTAATGAAAGTATTTTTCTAGAGACAGAAAAACCTAGTAAGAGGGAGAAGCGATCGTCATCAGAAAAAGCGCCGAAGGAAAAAAATAAAAAAGAAAAGAAATTGTCTTTATCCGTTGTTCTTACCCCACCTTCGCCACAACCCAAGGAAGCCGACCAGAAGTCAGATAATGACACGAAAATGGATGTGGATTTGTCATCACCTCAGCCGTCTACTGAGCCTAAACCAGAGTCGGAGAAATTGGCTGGTGATTTGAATGCTGAAACTCCATCCAGAATTTCTGAACAATCTTCACGGCTTCTCCCACCGACTTCGGTATGTGCATTTTTGTATTAAAAGAAATATAAATTTTGTTGTTTTACTTCATTTTACAGGTACGAAGGCGGGCGGATCATTTGTTACCTGGGAAGATTTCCATAGGACCATTAACATCTCAAGTTCTTAACAATATGCTGCGTGAATTAGAAATCAAGTACTATGGAGACGAAGAACGGCATCCCTACACACAAGAGGTACATGGAGGGAAGATGTGATTTCTTACTATGATCAACGTTGGAACATATGTTACGTATTTTCATTCATTGTGCAAGTATTTGCACTAGTTCCATGAATTTCTTTCTATTTGCTATCATCCAATGAAGTGATGCGACGGTACGTTCCCTCGCAGACAATTCGTATACAACAAGGGATACACGTGGTCAACGCGGGTGACTAAATGTTTTCTCGTGTTGTAGGTGGCTCACCTCGCTGTCCATTAAACACTTTGAACTGTATTATCTTTTATTATTTAAGCCTTCTTTGTTACATCAGATCACTTAAGCACCCGTTCGTTCCACTGGCAAAGATGGGAAGTGTTCGGTAATGGAGAATTTATAAGCAATTTTTTATCGGTTTTTGTGCTACTTCCATCCTAAAAGTGCGTGTAGCGCAATGGTCGGAGGCGCCCTACAATGCAATGGGTTCGGTCCCCATGCCCCAGGATCACCAAGCCACTTCATTCCGCCGGGGTTGGCGAATTGGTACTAGGATTGTCTGGTATGACGGCAGCACTGGCGCGTTACATCGGTACGCCACCACGAATTATTGTAAAGGCCAGATGTACATTCAGTCACTTCCAAACGATGCTTAACGAAGTCGAATTTATTGTGAATCCCTCAGGGATTGATCAACGACGAGAGCTTTGGAGCTTTTTTTTTCGTCTCAAATTTTAATCGTGAAACTGTCTCTATTATTGTACATTGTCCTTCTGGATCGCCTAATTCCATGGTTGATTGCTACATCGTCCTCTTGAGCACTTTCGGTACACATTTCAATGCTATGATCTTTCAATGATGATGAGATATTTGCAAAACTCGGGACCGGAAGCGTATGCGATGGGGAACGAACGCGCTATTGTCCTTTCCGGGGAGTAGCGCGTTCACCACCACACCTCGCGGGTCCTTCGTTTCGTCTGTCTCCCAGCTAGTTCTATCGATCTTTTGCCATCAGCAATCACCCGTCAGCGGGATTGATCTAGGTGGCCCAAATCGGCAACGAACCTAGTTAAGCTGTGGCCGCAGTTATAGTCACAATTTTAACTTATTGTTTACTGCCTACTCTTTTTAACGGCAGGGTTATACATTACGAAATATAATTTCAATGATGCTGAGATATTTGCAAAACTCTGGACCGCGGATGTCTGCGGTGGGGAACGAACGCGGACGTGTGATTGCTGATGGCGCCGATCAATAGAACTAACTGGGAGATAGCCGAAACGAACGACCCGCATGGTGTGATTATGAACGCGTTCACTCCTCGGAAAGGACAATAACGCATTCGTTCCCGACCGCATACACCTGCGGTCCGGAGTTTTGCAAATATCTCAGCATCATTGAACTTATATTTCGCAATGTATACCATGCCGTTAAAAAGAGTAGGCAGTAAACAATAAGTTTAAAGGTGTAGGCTTCCTACGCTGTCGACAGTCGGTTGGTGAGCTGCTCACTGGAAGCGCTGTTATCCTTGAGGAACTTTGGTTGCAAGGGACAAACCTCGCTTCGGTTAGGAATTGTTGGTGAAACCGATAGTATGACTGGAATTGTCGTCTTGTGATTTCTGAGAAGGCTATGGTCCACTGACTTTCAACGCGTCAGTGACACGAGAAGACAACATCCTCTGACCGAAAGCAAAGTGACACACCAAGCTGGCCATTTTTGTGTGTAACGGTTGTGGGACTGAAACGAATGACCATAATTTCGTTTTTGTGATATTTAGTGATGAGTGGTCTCGTTCCTTGTCCATCTGCTAATCTGATCAAGAACAAGGAAAATGTCGATTGCAAAGGTTTAGAATTTATTCTGTTTGTTTTACCATGTTTCAGACTCAGGTATCCGTAAGGTTTGATCATCTGCTTTCACATTTCGTTGATTCGAATGGTTAACAGGAACAGTTTTTATGGGTCTACATCGCATCTCCAGCACTCCTGGTTTTTAGGATTTATGCATCTTCATCCTTGACCATAGGCCGTCCATATGACCATGAGCTTCGCATTTTCTCCCTTCCTCTCTATCTTTCCTGTTATTTTTATGAACTGGAATGCTCGAATTATTGCTCCTTGTGAGTGTATTTGTAAACGCATGAGGCTTATAAGAGCGACAAGTTTGGCGTTCTTTGTTTTCTTCTCACGACACTCTATATTGTCGATTTTCTTTTAAGATTACTTCGTCGCTTCTGTCGTGTGCGAATCTTTGGTAAAGCCATTCATGCTGATTCGCCGAACTCGGTAGAGTACTTTTTTCTTTTTTTTTTTTGGAGATGACAATTTAGTCGGCCATCAATGGGAAATCAGGAACAGTTTGGTTATTCACAAGGAATGTTTGGAACCAGCCACAGATCGTTGTGTTCAACCGTGGTGTTTACTTCAGCCGACGTTCATTCAGTTTGTGCTTGTGCTTATTCTCGCTGTTTTGCAGACCATCTAATTAGCGAAATGAAGATGTCCTCTCCGTAGTTCATCCACTTTAATTCCCATGTTTTCCATTCGTTTCCACATGACATGCTGCTGATTACTTTTAAGTATTTGGATTTCTTTGGAGTAATATTTTATTGCGGAACCTTCTCTTACCGACCGTAGTGATGTTCTTGTAGGACCGGGAACTTAAGGCTGTAAAATTCTATATCTGATGAAGCTATATGTCTACGGTAGAAATATTCTGAGTTTCATGAGAACTTCCTTTTCTAATTGCGCAGATATTCTTTCTAAATACTTCGAAGGAATTGGGATATGACATTGTTATGTATTTTAGCAAGAATAGTTTATTCAGGATGAAATGTTCGAATTTCAGGGGATACTACAGAACATTGTGCTTTTTCTAAAATGTTACTGAATGACTGGTTTGGATTCTGTGCGGTAATAATTTTTCGTGTCAAACTATCTTCGAAACTGATTACTGTTTTAGCAGTTACTGCGACATCGAGTTAGGCCAAGCAAAGGAAACTAGATGACAGTTGCTGATGTTTTAAGTGTTCGCTGTTGTAGAACAACACTCTTCCATTTTTCTTTATTGACTAGAAACCTTTCATTCCTACTGCTAGCCTGCGAGAAGTTGAGCAAGTACGTTGGTTAGGCCTAGCGGGTGGTTCTTCATATATTCGAATTGTGCTGTTGAAGTCTAATTTCATTTAAAACAGCTTATATATAGCTTTCATAATGCCTTGATATTGTTGGGAAACGAAGGCTTCTAGTTTAAGTTCTAGTCCGCATATATTCTAAAGTAGACGCAAGTGGTTATTGCTTGAAGCAATTGTCTTTGTTGTCCTTCTAAGCTTGCATCATCAGGTGATAAGTGAGATCCTCCGATGCTAGTTAGAGTGCACACGGTGCAGGCTGTCGTCGTAAGCCTCAAAAATTTCAACAGCGTGATTTAGCTCTCAATTTACCAGTTACATCATACAGTAGTCGTCAAACCTTTTTGCTGGTGGTCACTCATAACCTCCTCATGTGTTTACCAATTGATTGGTTGCCAGTTTTAGGCTGAATCGATGTGATTGATGTAGTCGATGCTCAGAGCATGCTCACATGCTCACATGCATATGGAAATACAAAGTTGCACGAAAGCCTGGGCAATACAAAGCGTTCGGCACCAGTTTTGTCTTTTTCACAAAATTTGTCCATCTGTATTATTTTACACCGTGGAAAAAAAACTAGGTTTACATAAAGTTTTCGAAGTAGTGTCGCTTAGATTTCAAAGAGGTTTCAACTGTTCCATACACACCGCAGGTAGTGCCTCTAAATTTCTGACCATCTTGTGTGGGTTCGTGACGCACATGATCCAAATAAGTTTTCTTTTAGTTCCAGCGCCGGAAGTCTCAAACCGTAAGAAGCGAACGAATTTGATTGCACACTGTTAGACCCTTGTTAAGCATTAGCAGGGTATTTTGGAAAATACGACTTTAGGAACGGGGATCGTCATTTTTTCCACAAGGGTAAACTTCCAGTCTTGTTGGAAAATCATGTATGTGGTCTTATTGCATCCATACATGCGTTTGGAAGAACTTACTTCCTTCTGAAACTGATCTCGGTAAATTTGTGTGTCAATTTCTACGTTTTCATTGATTTCTACTGATGAAGACCAGAGGGGTTTTCCAACTTGCAATGACTCCTCTTCAAACCATGCATCTCTTAGGAAGGACTGATTTTGCGAGATATCTTCGTCTTTCAATTTGTTTCAGTATCGCACCAGTCAGTTGGAAATCGTTTCGAGAATTGTTTGCGACCTTAATTGTTAAAATCATTTACATATTACCACGAGACATCGTCGTTGATTATGATGGTTTTCACTAATAATTTGCTTTATTCAGTTTCTTTGCCTACGTGCATCGGAAACACTTTCTTGAATATTCCGCAGAACCGTTTGAGGTTCGCCCCGTGAAAATGATCTGATCTTCACGTCGTGCTATTTTACTCGTCTTTTCACAACGTGGTTATCTTTTTGGTAGTCCTCAATGCAGTTGTAAGCTTTCTTGCTAATATTGTGGCGGACTCTCTATTTTTGATGAGTCGGGTGATCGCTTGCCGATTTGCACAAGTCTTCCCAGTTCATGAGGCGGTTTGCGGTTTACCTTATACTGAAAATTTTCTTCCAAGAAATTGAAAATTTAGAAGCGTAAACGTCAAAAATAAAGTAAGCCATTCACAATACATGGAAGGAGTTTGAAACGCACCGAATTAAATGGTCCGTATGTTCGGATTTTGCTGCATAAATATGACTCAAATCCTCGACGGAGGAACGGTTTGTGGATAGATGTTTACCCAATTTTTGAAAATGCTTCTGCATCAGTGTAACCTCGAAAAGTTTTAGTAAAACAATGTCATTTTGAATTATAGTTTACCGGTTGATCATAGCAGAGAAGTGATTCTGGTGATTGAGCTGCGATGTGCCGTGGGAAGTTCACCAACTTAACAGCGCATTCGAAGCTAAAAACTTCGATACTTTCATCAGGACGCAATTTAAAAGTAGACCCGTACGAAGAGTCGCAGCCGTCTTGGTAACAATGTGTTTACTAAGTGGCAGTTGACGACGTGGAAAAGGCGTAATACGCCTTTGGAATTTCCTTGGAGGAAAATCTTGCCTAACCAACACATTGCTAGTAAAAGGGAAGTTGTGTTAAGGTTCAGATGACATCATAATTCGTAAAAGACTTTTAAGTATTGCAGTGTGTTACCTTGAATCTAGCGAAATGGTCTCTTCTTATCGAGTACTTTTTTTGGTGAGAGTGATGAGATGGCAATAAATGAGAAAAATGAACGAAAATGGGAATTTTTTGTTTTTCCTTACGGATTGAATTTTCAGCAGTTCAATGAAGCTATTTTGTCTGGCAATTTTATGCGTGTAAGGAAAGCAATGGTGAACAACGTACTGACTGCTCCTCGTTTAGCAATGTGGACTAATCCGTACGGAGTTAATCTTCTGCATATGGTTGGTTTCGTACGCTGTGCGGTTTGCATGATTTATATGATTATATGATTTGCACCTGAAGATAATTTTATTTGATTAGAATGCTATTTTCTGTAACGCAACATCAGTCGTCAATTGTTACGAGTGCGGTTTTCATGTGGATTAACGGGTTCATTGTATTGCAAATCGAGTAGTATGCACAACACTTCTGGAAATGTTGCGGGATATTCATTGCTTTCTTGATAAGCACATACTAGGGTGTTACTATACTGTTTGTTTACAAAAGCTGACGTTTCAGAGTAAGAGCCTGGAAAGGTCAATTTAACAGCAACCCAATCAGCCATACATCTCCATAACTCCAACGGAAAATTCACGAAATCCTACGTTTCATTCGCACTGTAAACAAAGTAGCTTCTTCGCACACTCACCGTTTTCTATGAGTCTTTTATGAGTATTTCACGTTGTAACAAACCGCGGTTACTGTTGAATTACGGTTTCGATATGTATATGTACACATATGCATATGTATATATACGTATGTATGTAAATGTATATGCACAAATATACAGATGCATGTACATTACATGCGTATATATATGTGCATATATGTGTACATACAACATACGTATATGTGCATATATATATATATATATATATATATATGTGTAGTTAGAATGTGTTAATTATAAGTTGTAGGTGGAAATTGTGAACCTGTTTCCAATGCCACTGACAGTTATCGTGATTTTTCTGTTGGGGTTATAGATGTATTTGGCTAACTAGACTGTAGTCAATTTGACCTTACGAGGCTATGAAGAAGGTGAAATGCTTCAAAACGTCAAATTCGTGTATAAAGAGTGTAGTAACAACCTTATGTGTGCTTTTTAAGGAAACAGCAAATTGTTAATCAATGACGAGGTTAATAGAAAGCCGGTCTTGGGAACTACTGCAGGTTGTGGTGTATGTTTATTTTTATGAAGGGTAGCGTAAACGTTCGTCTACGTGGTTTTTGGATTTAGTTATGCCGATCCATGAGATGTGATGAACGACATGCGGGTGACGATATCGCCACAGTTCTCTGTAGTATTGCTCCAACACTTCTTTCTTCTCGCGATAATCTTGGAAAAATACCGTTACATGACGCCGTTGACAAAGGCCAGGTAAATTGCCCGATTAATACTGTTTTTCGGCTTCGTTTTTGTTTTTTTTTTTCCAAATGTGTTGCTATGTCCTGAACTACCGTTATGTACAAGGATATGGTTATTCTGGTTTTTTTTCTAGTAATACCCAGTGGTACTGTAGGAATTTCTTGTAAATTGCTTATGTTTGGTGAAAACATTAATGAGCAAAGGAAGCTAATGTTACTTGCCTGGGAGGTTTGAGTGGACTCCAATTCATGGCGCGTTTCATAATGACGCTCAAGTAGATTAACTGTCGAGCAGCGTGCGTTAATTCCTGAAGAGCTTGGAGATAATGTAGTCTTTAATCTGTCAAGTTCAATTCTTCCATTGCCAATTGAAACTTCGCGGCTTTTTTCACTGCGAAAAAGTGCTTGATGTTGGAGTATGGAGAAATATGGGACATGTTATGGAGGAAAGTCAGCGCATTTTCTGAAGAGTTAACATTTCTATGCAAATAAGTTAAGCTGCGGTTGATTTTCTAACTTCTCAGGTATGCCGTGTTACTCGATTACTCACATTCCATTCACCAGTTAACGTTACCGATCGAAATGGCAATTCTCCGTTATCGCTTGCGTATTCGAAGAATCACGCAAAAATGGTGCGGATATTATTGCAAGCGGGTGCAAATTTTTATCCACTGGAAAGCTCTGAACGGAGGTATTCAGATATCTTGAACGTTATGTATCTATCTGAGCCAGGGTTGTTATCACGTTCCCATTCCCAGGAAACCAGAAAGTCAGCGGAAACGACGTGCATTTGATGTGCTAACTAAGCACTCCAGAATGGTTTCTGGCCAAATGCAACGGGCTAGAAGGAAGGTGTATAGGTGAGTCGTAAGAAACTTCTCTACTTTTTATCTCTTCCTTCATTTATTTTGTCTAATACATATTGCCTACTGATGCATGCAACATGATTATGTGTTTGGTCGTAAATTAAAACATTCATCACGACACGACCTCATATGTAGTCATATAATGCGGAAATAATGGAATTCCCCCGCTCATTTCTAATTCAAGCTATTCCAACTAATAGCGAACTTTACTAGTTTGAATAAAAACTGCTAGAAAGTACATTTCTTTACCTGCAAGATGCGAGTTCTCTTGTTCTAATAAGGTGAAATTCTGATAATTCTAAAACCAAAAATCGTGTTTCTTTCACTTCACTTCGGCGAAGCTCGTATTTCGAACTTCACAAGCGGGATTTAGTCTAACAAGATACGATTTTGTTCCACATTCAACGTTGGTTTCTACGGCAACCGCAATCGTTTAGGATTGTGCAACTTTATAACGATAGGGAAATGTTTTTTCTATAAATCTGGTAAAGTTTTGATCTTTTCAACTACTATGTTAACACAGAAGTTATCTGTTGTTGAGAAATCATCGCCGTTACGAATCTGCCAATAATGATTTTAGGCAAGTTAACAATTCAGTAGCTTTCAAGCTATATAAAGACGCAATCTGGGAACATATGGAAGAAAGTGCCGTGCTATTTTCTCGTTTAATTTCAAGATCTGTTATTTTGTTTGAGTTGTTTTGGTTCACTATTATGATTTTATTTGAGTTTCAGATTATTAACTGAAGTACGAACAGCATCTCCATGCTTCACCGCTCCATTTTCGGATGGTCCGGAATTTACATTTACTGTACGCGTAATAATCTTATATTTCCACAGACTTTTTTGTTTTGTTTTTCTTTCACTGTAACTGAGGATAAAACGAAAAAAGAAACTTATTCCTGGAAAATTTTTTGACATTTAATTTTCTCTCCTTGACGAAGTTGGCGACCAATAGATAACTGTTTTTGGTAATAATTGAAAATCCCGGGACCAATGACGAAATTGAGTTAGTGGTAAAATTTTGAATGATGCATAATAAGGTCGAGCTCACTATAACATCGTTGTAGTAATAAGTAGATTGCTGCAGAATTTAATATTCACTGCTAACTTTTTAATCTCTTACTCATTCCCTTTCAGTTTTATCACACACCCACGCCTAATCCTCCAGGGGGACAGTATGGTCATATACTTTTTCTGCATGTGTGCAGCGTGAGACCAGAAGGAGGAAACGTGAGCTTTTATTGGATTCTGACGAATTCATATGTTTGTTTCTAGATGGATTTTGTTCTGCTTAACAGTTCTTGGAATGTTTGAGATGTTGTGATGGCTTTAAGTACTTTGCTTTAGTGGCAGACACGTTGCTGGGGTGGACTTCGCCTTTCACAGGCCCCTTTTCTTAATGGGCGTCCGTTGGAACCGACGAGTATGACAGACCGTGGAGATCATATGATTTTCTTTATCATACCTGTTAATGGCGCCAATACGATCTGTATTAGATTATGTGAAACTGAAGTGTGAGTTCTAGCATTATCAGGCAATTCCAACACTTGACGGCTAAATCAAAACAACAATATTGATTTAATGAACACAAAAGAAGGCATCAGTTCTATGAGAGGCGCTTCTCCACTAGACGATGTGTCCATTTAGAGTGGTGTAAGGTTTATGAGTTTCCTTATGTTAGTATGTTTAAAATAACGAGGTGTTCTTTAACACTGTCGTGCCAGGTGACATCTATAGGTGTCATAATGGCTTTGCGGGAGTGGCCTGCATGACATCTACTGGTTGTATTTAATTTCTGGTAGTTTATTTTAACATATAGAACTTTTTCCCGCACTTCTTATTATCAACTGATAGCTTTTAGAGCACTGTTACTGTATTGATCGTTGCCCGGGAAAAGATCCATTCTGTAGTTAGAAATATACAAAAAACTGTAACTCCCAAGTCCGACTTTCTATTAACCTCGGCATTGATCGAATAATTCTTTCTACTTCTGTTCAGCAAACACGAGGTGTTACTTTATTTCTTTATTTACGTACAAGCTGACGTTTCGGCGGATTTCGCCTTCCTCAGAGCCCACTATTCTCCTCTAGAGGCGGTCCGCCAAATACTGATCACATTAGTTTTCTTTCTTCTCGCACATCTTCCACTTAGCGAACATCTGGTTTGTTTGCTTCGTAGACAGGTGCGTAGAACTTGCAATTCACTGTCCAGTACTCGGTGGTCATCCTCTGGCAGTCCGCATACTTTGTGTAGTCGTTTTCTTTTTATGAATTTCGGAACGACTTGGTGTTTTATGCAGCGGCGGAGAAAGTGTATCGCCTGTCGAGCTAAGACGATCTTTTGTCTTAGTGACAGTGTTCTTTTGCAAGTCGGAAATATCTTGCTGGTACATCTTGTAGTAACTCCCATGTCCGACTTTCTATTAACCTCGGCATTGATCGAATAATTCATTCTACTTCTCTTCTGTTTCGCCTTAGAGTATTTGGAGGACCGCCTCTGGAGGAGAATAGTGGTCTCTGAGGAAGGTGAAATCCGCCGAAACGTCAGCTTGTACGTAAATAAAAAAATAAAATAACACCTCGTGTTTGCTTAACAGTTGTAGAAACAAAAAACTGTATCCCAAACGAGTTCACTGAGCAGAAATTTGGGCACTAATCGACTACTGTTTCAATTCTAGTTGTCTTAGTGGATGAAGCTTATCTTGTAGAGTGTGCGGATATAAAAAATGAAATGGAGAGTCGTAAATTGCAAAACACTTCCAAATTCTGGCAATAACGTGTTTGTATGACGGACCTTAGTAGCGCATAGTAAATAGCACCTTATATATCATTCATACCCCTAGAATGAGCAATGGAGCAAAATCTTTCCTGCAATGCATTCATGTTCACAATCCACGAAGTCTTCTAGTTATCGAAAAATTATTGTTTATACTTAAGAAAACAGCAAGTCCATGAAGGCTGGAAATTAGGCGTCGTCCAGTTCCCAAAAATCTGAGATTAGCCGTCATCGCGAGACTGTTAAGAGGTTTCTGGAAACACTTTTGAACAATTTTTGGACTCACCAGTAGAGTTAACATTGGTACAGTAGGTTTTGGATCAGCTGTCGTAGAAATTTGAGTTATCGTTATCACCAATATCGTTTGGTTTTTCGCCTATGAACAATGTTCGCCAGTTCTCCATGTTGGCGTTTTCGTTTCAAAGTACAAAAAATTCGGCTACAATTTCGTCTTAACTGTGCTCACTGCCGATTCATGCTATTTAGATAGTTCCCGTTGGCCAGCGTTAGAGTAAAGTAGCGTTAGAGTAGCGTTAGAGTGTCTGAGAGAAAAGCTAAGCAAAAGCCTCGGTTGGTGTGGTGGATAGCACCTGCGCTCTGGGTAAGAGTAATCGCAGTCTCGAAGCCCACCTGAGGTTCCAAGTTGTGCTCATATCTCAGCATCTTTGTGTTTGTTCTTAAAACCATACCTTTCGATGAAAACAAAAGAATATGCAGTAAGTAAAGTTAAAACGTTACAAGAAAGGGGTTAACTATCGCATCTGTGAACATTTTACATCTCACTAAGCTAAATCAGGTTACCGTTCATATTGCACGTGGGTAAAGTAGTGTAAACTATCTTCGACATCATTATCACAATTTCGGCCATTACTTTAATACAGCAAGAGAAGGCAAAATCAGAAGGTACTTGTGAAGTGCTTGAAATATTTAATCTCGATAGTCGTACTCATAGCAGCATTGAGAGGCAGCGAACTGTACTATTGTCATGCTTCTATAATAGCCAGGTGTTTAAAGCCTAGATTGGGAGTGTAAGAACTATGAAGCTAATAACGAACCATAGTCTTGCGTCACTGCCTACTTAATCGGTGTACTTTTGATCTTAGTGTTCGATACTGTTCTACTTTCTCCTAGATATATTCAGTAGTAACCCTTTTTGCTTTTAGTAGGCAATACTTAAGGGAAACCTTTGACATTGTTCAGTTCTCTGAGATTTAGTGTAGCATGAGAAATCAACCTGTTATCTGTCGAACATCGTCTTCATCCTACAAAGTATACCTATATCCTTTTTTTCTTAGCACAAAGTAGATGACAACAAGCACGTGTGTTGTTCGACTGATAGTTATTGCAATTATCCTTTATTGTCACTATAGTGCGGACAGTGATGATTTCGGTTGTTACACTTATCTTCTACGTCTATCCATTACACATAGTACCTAGTCTACAACGTCTACTCATTACGACTGTTTCATATTTCCAAGGCTTTCTTTACGTCATTTTCCCATTATTTTGGTTGATTCCGTACTTCTGAAATCGTAACCCTATATTTGAGGACATTGTACAACCAAAGAATACTGAGCTAGAATGCTTTTGTGTCAATATTCTAGTCTGAAATTGAAATAGTTTGAAATTCCTTTTAGTTTCAACTTATGTAAACATTTGTTTTGGGTAAATATGGAAATAAAGAGCATGCTAATAGTGAAACTTTTTAACGATCCGAGGATAATCGGTGGTAGGAATTTTTTTCTGGAACAGTCTTTCGCATGGACGTTTCTTGTCCTTAAGTGTCTCATCATTATTGAGAATAATCTGGGAAGACAAATCAATTTATTCTGTCAAGCTTCTGGAAAGGCGACATATCCTAACTTAATGTGGACAGGTCTGCATCTTCACCGAAAATGCTGACCGTGTGCTGAGGGATTAGTCTGCTTCACCAACTATATCGAGAAGTTATTATCAAGGAAAAAAAAAAGGTTTTTTCCAATATTATGGTTTCTACAATTTCTATCTCTCTCTATCGCTCTCTCCTCTCCGTGAAAGCTTATACAACTTTTCGTTCCGTTTTTGTAGAAGTCGGCCGACATTTGCTTCTCTACAGGAAGACTCTACTATGTTGAATCGGCAAAAGAATTGTTTTCTTCTGATGATCATTCTTCGACTTGTCACACTACCACGTACTTTACTAGAAGGTAGAAAGTGATAGGGATTATTTGGAGTTCTGCATCAGTGAAGATCTGCGAAACAAAGCCTATAGAAAACTGCTGATAATGTGATTGTCATAGTTTCCATCGAGTAACGCTTATGTTATGAATAATGGGGATCTTTCCACTAACCTTGGATAAAGTTAATCACTTGTGTCACTTCGATGTTTGTGTGAATGTATGGTCTTCTTTTTAGAATTATTCCACATTCTTACGAATTGTTTTCATTTCACCTGTAATCTTGTCTGAGGTTCAGGTTTTGCAAATATCTCAGCATCGTTGCAGTTGTATCTCATATAATACCAACCATGGAAGAAGTAATGGGTAGTAAATAAAAAGTTAGATATTGCATTCCATTTATTTTGTTTGCCTATTGAGACATTGTTTGTATCAAGTGAAGGACCATAAATGGTAAACTACGTAGTACCAGGAAGCTCTGTTCGTCCTTTGTGGTACCAGAGCTTCTCTTCGACCTCCTGCCACTCGGTGAATCCTTTTTCTAGTGTTCTTAGTGGAAACATATGGAGTTCTTTAAGTTTTTCAGCCTAAGTGATACTGCAAAAGTATGAAACTTATTCTTACAGCGCAGTTTCAATAATTAGAACAGCCCGGCCATGAGTTGATAGGAAGCAACTGCTTGAAACTTGGGTAGTGAAAGTAGTCAATATTGGAATTGATGAGTTTACCAATTTATAGATGTAGGATTCGAGTTATTAGATAATGGCAGTTGATGTTCATAGAGACGTCGTGTTGACGAGTGTCCTAACTCTCATGTCTTTTGTTGCTATAGCTTTTAAGCAACAACTGTTTTTCTATTTCAATAATGCTGTGCGGCTTGAATAGTTTCTCATATCGTCTAGTCGTCGATGTAGTACGTGAATTCGTCGTTTGATTTGTTTATTCTTTGATGATTGCGTCAAAGAGAAGTGTTTGTGTTGGAAATACAGATCGTCACTCTGAGGTCTTTTTTTTGTTCCGGTAGCTTTTCTCAACATAATGTAGATTTAGTTCTCATTCCTTCTTAAAGGTTCTGCCTCTATGTTAACTTTGAAAAATGATACCTATCTTACGTTTGAATACGAAAGATCACAAATTGCTGCCCGATTCTGCCTTAATGGTCTTGGCTTCAGTAATCAGTATTTTTCCTCGGATTTTAACATGTGCCTCCAAACATTTTATGTCTTTCTGCTGCAGACCGAAATCATTATCTTATCATGAGATCCACATTAGTTTTTGTAATCCTAGGGTCACATCCGTAACCCAATATATTGGTCTCATGTATGGTTATCGATTTTTCTTCCAGGTCGAAGAGAGTGATTCTTGGTGTGCAAATGGTACTGGTGAAGCGAACAGTTCGTGAAAACTGGTCATCTGTTAATCACTATCCACCTCTAGAGCAAGCTCCAATGGTCGGACCATTCTAATACTACTTTTTCTGTTACTAATTTACTAAAACTTTTTGCATTAATAATCCAAGTGGTTGTTATGAGAATTGGCGTTATAAGAATGTTTTAAGTGTTAGTTACCATTTTTAGCTTCGTTTTCCCTCGCGGGTGCCTCATTCATGTAAATTTCTGCGAACTCTTACCAATTCGCTGTAAATCGAGCAGTTTTGTATTTATTCGCGATATCCATGATTGTTTGTATATTTGTAATGGGTTGTGTTGTCCCAGTCAGTAACTAAAGTTGTTCAGTTTTATGAATAAACGGTGAAGCGTTGGGCTTTGACCCTATTCGTAGCATCGTAGTTGTGAATAGGTACATATCTGGACTATAAAACGATTTCCAGTGGAATACCAACGTATCAAGTCATTGTTTCTACCCACCCAGATAATTCTGGTATAAATTTGCCGTCTCCGAGGGCATGGAAGGCTTAGGTAGCCCATGACGAGGGGTCAAAGCGAAGACCATGTGTGCTTTTAAGGACGCCTTTAACCACTGTTACATCGGTATCGGTGAAAATTACCCATAAGTGCAATGACCGTAAATGATATTTGTAGTTTTGTTGCCTAATGCTTCCACAGTGTGAAACAGTACACAAAAATTATTTTCTTCACAATGAAGCTGAAGCGCAACGGGTAATGATCCCGATACACTCGCGGTATCTGGCTCAACGCTGACTAGGTCTTCCATCACTCTGGAGTTGGCAAGTTGCAACCAAACTTCCGTGGGAAAATCCCAGCGATCTAAAATGGCTGGCGAGTCCATGTGGTGAAAACCCAGGAGCACTCAATTAGAGCTATTTCTGAACTCTACGAGAATCAATTCGACTGGAATTCAACTTCATTCATAAAGATAAAATCTGCAGTGGTAGCTGAAGTTAGACGTAACTATGAAAGCCGTCATAAATGAAGGATTCGCGATAGCCAAATGAATTGAATAAATGGTGGGATCAAGGTAATATTTGGATTATCGCAGGAACTCTGTGGATTGCGAACCCTCGCGCTCACTCTGTAATGAAGAAAAGATACTTATGTTGCTAGAAGATGAAGCGTGGTTTTATCAAATAAAGAAAAAATCCTTGTGCAATGTTTACATGTGTCAGGCTAGAACGTGTTGTTTTGTTCTTCGTCTTTTTTCTCAATTCAGCGCCTATTCCTACATTCGCGTAGATGAACAGAAGAATGAAGAACAAGAGCATTACTTTTTCTCGAATAAAGAAGCTGATGGAATTTCGATTCTAAAGAGGTGATTGAGTACTCTGTTTAAATCCTAAAATGTTCCTATTCGTCGACATATCCTTGAAATCTCCAATGCACGTGAAGATTTCTGACAGGGAAGCGACGGCATGTTTGTCCTGCTGTTCTCGCTCAACAGCGATCGTCTCGTCACCGTCGATATGAGGAGATTTGGCGGCGGCTCTGCTTATCGTAGCGCATAGAGGATATCGATATCAAGAGCGAATCGTCAGTTGTTCACTTATCATTTTTTATCACTGCACTCTAATCGATTATGACACTTGATTGTTGTCTTCCGAAATGATAAATGGAGTGTCGTAACGTCGTGCTCTCTTTTCTCCATCAACCGATTTGCCGAAGCTCATCACGGCAGTAAACTCGCGTCGGCCATTGTTCACTCATTTAGTCGCTCAAAGCAGCGTTATTACCAGTGACGATTCTATTTTCTATAAGTTATGATTTTACACTGGACTTATTTCACTCAGATAGCAGTTGTTGAGCCAGTGACAGTTACACATAAATGCAGTGTTGCGGGTCACGCGCATTAGGTTACGAATGTGCCCTTGAGAATTCAAATAGCTCTCTAGCATCCAGCTTGGCTGAACCAAGGTATTACTCCTATGAAGATAAGTAAGTTTATATTTGTTTAAATGAGCTCTAAGAACCGCTAGTTCTTGAGAAGGCCAGTGAAGATCGAGTTCTTTCCCTACGTCAATCATTCAGGTGTAGATTCAGCTCTTTTCATCCTTAATGAATTAGCCAAATCGTTGTTTACCGCTATGATATACCAGCTTCCGATATATATTCTTAATGATTATACTGGTATGTGCTACTCCTAATCTAAATGCGTTGATACAACACAATGCTGATAAATGACTTGTGGCTTCACTTGAAGCTCAACAGTTTGAATTTCTCCTAAATCCTTTTCCTCGTTTTCCTTAAATATTTACGGAGTTAAAACTCCTCATGTCGCTGATAAGGTAACCTATTAGATAACGTTTCAACGAAGTAACCTCGTGAAAAAATTGCTAAGTGGACGTTGGAAAACCTGTAAGAATTCAATACTTCTATCCAACGCAGATTTCTCGCAGGTTGAAACTCTCTCGAACTACTTAGAAGGCTCAGTACATTATCTTTTCTTCGTTTAATCACTTTTCGCTTAAAAGATGTACTCGTCTTTGTAAACTCAGAAATGATACCAACAACGGGACAACCAGGTATTAAGCCTAATTGCACGTTCAGGGCATTATCTTGGGACGCCCTCCTGAGAATGTTAAGCAGCTCCTTTAGGGGTATGAGTATACTACACTTCTTACACTAAGCACTCCTGTATTTTAGCTGAACTTTCAAATATCTTATGAGAAGATAAATACTTTAGCTATAAGCATTTATGCATCTTTGTGGACATGAAGTGATTAGCCACAACAGGACGACATATTTTTTGGAAAGCGTGCAAATTATCAACCTTAAGCTTTAAATACTAATATTTCAAGTCATGTAACGTTTTACTAATTTAAGTGAAAAGCACCGAAATCTACTCGTCGATGAAATACAGATTTCTCTGTTTCGGTAGAACAAAATTTGGACTTCGCTGGAGCCAATGAATGTTCTGAAAGCTTCCTCAGCAGAGGATCGGCTGTTTAATAGTTTCCTTTGCAAGCAGTTGACAAGCTTCTTGAGCAAGTGGTAAATCGGTTGGCGTGGAGGACCATGAACGCGCCGGACGAAGCAAAGTTTCGTATCTTGATTCCTGCAAGTTTTCTTCAGAGGTGACTGTGACATGTGTGAACGCGCGTTTTCATAGGTGGATCTGGACTTCTTCGACGTTTGTATCAGACGTTATAGTTCTTGATGCACTTCGACAACTTACTATAAACATTTTGTTTCAGACGCTATAGTTCTTGATGTATTTCGGCAACTTACCGTAAATATTTCCTTCTTGTAAAGGCTTCGCCAAGATTCAGAGGGTGAAAGTATATAGTTGACTTTATTCATTACTAAGTAAACACCACAACGTTCTGATGTAAAAAATACCATGGTGAAAGGCATTAGTGAGTCATCTTTGCGCAGCTAAAGATCGTCTTCTTTAGGCAAGAGTTACACAAACAGCTTTGAACTAATTGTTCACCATAATACGTTCAATTTCAAACTACCATCCGCCGAGGTTTTTCTGCCTTTAGTTTCTATAAAGATATTTGCCTCCCAACGGTTCACCGACTCATCGTGACTGGGAAGTGTTCCTGAATGTCGGGTAGCGATGGACAACGGCGGGATTCATCCCCTAGTAGGGCCTCCCAAGCTGAGAAAGAGTCCGGCGTTCCCATCAGGAATCCCAGCTAAGGGTACACCAATACAGAGATTCCCCATTGTTCTAGTATCAAACTTCTAACATGGTGGAAAATCTTTTTTTGATCCACGAGGGCGGTGACCAGCGGGAATGTTCTTGAGGAAGGATTCGGCTAGACTAACCTTGAGACTCCACGGAACAACAGTGACTAAACCAGCAATTACCCGGAAGACGAAAACTGTGCTGGAGCCCACATAACCAGAGAAGACGAGCCATCTAAGTATCCAAGTAACTAGTAAAAATGCTTCAAACTGTTATTTTCATTATGGCGAATTCTTCTACGAGTACATGAAGTGCTTTGTATTGATCTGGTTCAAGTAACGCCTTCAAATAGCCATCGACAATTGCAGCTGATTATTCTCGAATCAAGTGAAACCCTTATCTCTAGCACAAAGCTTTTCAACCCAGTGCTATACTTTGCGATCCTCAACAGTGTCCTTGTGAAATGTAATGCTGATATTGCAGGCCTTTTTGTGTAAGCTGAAGTTCGCCCGATATACTGGGATTTACTGTACTTCTTTTTATTTTCATCTCGACAAACTAAATTGAATGCAAATATGCAAACGAAAGGGACAGAAATATTTAGAGGGAAATCTACTCTTTATGAAGATGTAGAGGTATATAAGATGAATGCAAACGATACACTTTATTCATAAAAATCCTTCAACCTCTGAAAAAATGAAACTCTAAGTAATCTTTGGCAAATTTAGTTCCGATCTTACCAATGTTCATATTTCTTTCAGAATTGGATCACATTTGGTGAGCATAAATTCTCATGTGGTAACAAGCTAAAACTTACTTGAAGTAGAAGTTTTTTGGTTCACCTCATGAATTCTGTATTATATCAAGAGGGCAGTTAGTTTAAAATGAAACTATTTTTCACAATAATGTTAGTAATTTTGCTTTCTTTCCGGTCGAAAACCATGCTAACCTGACTACATGTAGCTGTGCTTGCAATCAGTGTTATTAAATAATACTAAAGTGTTAGAATTCTGGACGATATCTTCGTCATAGAATCGGCAAGGCTTTAGCAAAGTAGTTTAGCGGTGGGCCGTATGAGCTATACAGTGATCCAGATGATGTGATATTGTACGTACAACTGCTACAGAGAGCTAATGTGCGGCGAAATATTCTCATTGTGAACGAACTATGTAAGGTTAGAAAGGTAATGCTTCTAAGGGTCATCCATAAATGCCTAACTGTTGTAACGGCTGCTGATCATCTATACTCTATCAAGTGCTACAGTGAGCGGGAAGAATAATACTTAAATTGAATACGGTGCAGTGCTGTTGTCGCATATACCAACCGCTAACAACTTCGATGAACGACTCACTCATCTTTAAAGGATAGACTCCACAGAATTCTAAAGTAAACCTTTATTCTAATTAATGAGTGCTAA